TCCAGTGATTAGCCATTCTCCATTGGCCATTCCCCCGCGGACTCTCTGCAATGGTTGCATGCCACTCTGTGGCCCAAAACCAAAAACCGTAGGCTTTAAGGACCGCTTTAAGCCGATGAAAACGGGAAGAGCCCAGTGGGTGGGATAGCGAAGGCCGCGCAGCCTGCTGCTGAATGTGATTTATGAACTCTGCCCCAAAAGAAAAGTTTAATTGCCAGCCGTGAAAAGCAGCATAAGCAGTTGAAAAGAAATCCGGAAAGAAGTGAAAGCCATTTATGGAAGGTACAAAATTAAATGCTCTATAAAGGGCGATGAATAAGAAGAAAGTATATTTTAGCCACAAAAAAAAGGGTCCTAGAAAATGCCACAACAAATTAAAATTCTAATACAGCTAGGAAAACGGCGAGGTCATATTAAATTTAAAGTAAAACCGTCAAATAAATCCGGCAAATATCTTTAAGGCCCAACTTGAAGACAATCGCGTTAGACTCTTCCCCAGGGACTGTGCCAACTCAAACTCAAACACAGACATTTGAATATTTGAGTCGCTATAGAGCCCAACCGATGCTCTGGCTCAAGGCAGCGCGTGAAAGGCTTAAAAAGTTCAAATTCCAGCTGACAGCGGAGGGACCAGAAAAGAAACCCACCGAGCCCATTGCCGAACCAGCTTAAAAAAATATATATATATACGTACGCACAGAGCAGTAAATATCGTTTGTGGCTTTGGACAAATAGAAAAAAGGTCCGCTTAATTTTTACAAATTACCATAAAAATGAAATGAAAGCAGCGACAGTGAAAGAAGGAGAGCAAAAAGAAAATGAACGGCGGGTAGCTTAGCTGTGGCATTTGTTTTTTGCATTTGACTTTGATTTATGTACAGGTCCTTTAAATGGTTTAAAAAAGACCCAAACAGGATTCAGCAATTGCATTTGACCATTTTTGGGTAGGTTTTCATTTAAATAGCAATACTTTTCAATATACTTAAGAGCCGATTTCTCAATGTCATGTTAAGTTTTGTCGTTGGGTTAAATGGCCATGACGGACATATTTAGTTGCTTAATATAATGTTAGTGCTTAACTGAATGAAACTAACATCACATTGAGAGAACGAACCATTTAACTTAATCTTAAGTTTCTCTGACAGACAACTAACTAGAACCTTAACCTGAGATTGAGAAAACGGTCCAAAATACCTTTTTAAATTGTATAACTTAAAGGTTACTTAACTCTTATCTCACTCACCTGAAAAAGCATTCCCGAGCATTTGCAGCCGTAGGCGATGCGATGAAGTATAGTTACCGCCGCCTTCAAGGACCGCGTGGGTATATCCGCCCAATCCGATAGCACTAATGTGCAGGCGCGAACAATTTTCGGATTCAGCAATCTAAAGGAAAGGGGACAAGCAGAAACACAGTTGGGTATTATAAACCAAACTCCAATCAAATTATGCTAAATTTAACTAATTATGATTTAAGAGTTTATCCAAGCAGCGGAGCAGTCACCCCCAAAAACACCATCGACCACGGCAACCGCAAATGTTCTACACTCGGCGCAAAAGTTTTAGAAACATTTGAGGCAACAGCAGCAACAACAACGTGAATGGCAGCGCAATTAAAATACAACGGGCAAACCAACTTGACGTCATTTTATTATAATTGTTGTGGCAGGGTGAGACCTGATGTTGCTGCTGTGCGGGCGATGTTGCTGCCGTGATGCTGCTGCTGCTGTTGCTGCCGCTGATGTTGCTGCCGTTCTAAGCTGCCCGCGGCATCTGTGTGCGCCGGTTCCCAGTTCGAGTTCGAGTTCGCGGCCATAAAACTTTTGGCACAAGTAATTTCTGACACTAATCCTTAATTAGTAGCCACGAGCACTGACTCTGGTCTGCCTTTCAATTAAAAACACAATTACAATTTTCAACACCACCATCAGGACACAAAACCACCGTTCAACCGAGCGGGCGACCATGATAACTTTTCAAATAACAGCAGTAAAATTTAAGCGTCCCCATCTCCCCCTTCCCCGGGTTTATATTTCCCAAAATGGTAAAGTGTCCACGCGGTTTGGCCTTGATTCGAAAACTTTATGGGCTTAAGGATAGGATCCTTGGTCTAGGCCTATTTACCTGCGAGCGAAATCATCAAACTTGAACGTTTTCTCTGTGAGTCCATTATCTGTTGTGGGGAGAAAGGGAAATTTGGGGTGGGAAAACAGGCAAATGCCATTTATTAGTGGAAATTTCCTCAAATTATTTTCATATTTATCACAGATTTATGCGATGAGTGCTTTTGGGTTGCTCTTACCCTGCTCTTCAAATTCCTCGTTATCCAAGTCATCGTCCTCGTCTTCGTCCTGCTTGTCCTCGTTTTCATTTTCCTTCTCCTCGGGTTCAACTGAAATTGAAAATATTTATTGAATATCAGGGGTCTAATCAGAATGCCTGTAATGGTGATTGAATTTCGAAGGAAATACTTAATTGTAGTCAGACAAAATGGTGAAAAAACATTTAAGCTGGCAGATTAAATATTTGATTTTCAAAGGAATTAAATTAAGGAAAAAAATACTTTAAATATAAATTCATAAAAAAATACATAATAATAAAGTTCACAATTATGGAAAGGTAATACTTATAGTACACAAAACACTATAAATTATTTTAATTTAATGGAAATATAAATAAAATTCATAGCAATATTTAATGGAATGACTGTAAAAAATTCAAATTTAAAGCAAACAAGCATCGTTCATGATTTAATCAATTATGCAGGAGGTGCACATAGAGATAGATGAGGGCACTCCGGGGTGAACCCTCTGCTTTTGCAACGGCAACACAAATGGCCATTAACAATAATTATGACTGCTGCAATGCATAAACAAGTGTACTTGTGTTCCAACAACCGGGCTCAAACACACAGGGAAATATAGAGGGAGAGGGTTCTGATAAAATGCAAAGCTAGTCGAAAGCACACTTCACAGGATCCCTTTTGGAAACAGTGCAATTGGAATGGAATACTACGAATGAAAGGCCATCCGACCCTGGGCTTTCGCTTGAAGGTTGGAGGCTGCTGATGTTGCACCTGCTGCTGCAGGCGAAATGCCCCCAAAAAATGTCAGCCAAACCCGAGAGCCGGACTTTTGGGCAGGTAACAACTTCATTTTGGAAGTGCCGTTACCGTTCCCGAACCCCTCTTCGCACCCCCTTGCACCTTTTGGAACACCCTACACCCATGGAATGTGCTGCGTGTGCGTCGCTTTATTAACGTCTTGAATGGGGGCTCCACTGGCATGTCCTTGTTCCTGTCCCTGTCGTTGGCAGTGACGCTATGCTCCGTCATTAAAATACAATTTTCTGTGTCAGGTTCAAGCTGTAAGCCCAAAAACATGGCACACAGGGGGTGGGGGGGAGGTTAACGAAGAGAGGGATTTGGGGAGAAATGCAACACGGACAGCACACGATATTAGTGCATGTCTTTTGGACTGCCTTTGTAGCTGCATTTGTTGGCCCGACACCCGACAGGACTGTGGATATAGCCCTATATAGCCATCCTCTCTGGCACAACAACACCTTGCTCCTGCTCCATCCGAAGGACTGCGACTGCACGGCCATTAAACATGAACCTCGTTACGGCGTTGTTGATGTTCTTGTTATAAGCGGTAACTTCAGGGTAGTCGGGCTATGTGCCGAACAGAACTAAAGTCTGGAAGTCATGATGGCACTTTCAAACTCTCACTAGGTGTCCTTTGCAAGAAACGTGGCTGCTTAAGGGAGAATTACATGATATTTAACGGGAGTTCTTTCCTATTTAAGATGAAAAGTTGGTATACGGTATTTAAAGCAGGTTTAGATTTATGTTTAGAAACCTTAGAACATGGTTAAGTTTAAGTAATTAAAAAGAAACTATTTTATATTTTTACGAATGCATATAGATATAAAAACGGCTGAGGGTTATTAAACATGAGTTCTACCATTTTTTAAACCTGCAAGTTGGGACTTTACAAGATACTTTAAACATGTGTATTATTTTAAATAGAACATGCTCATGAACATGTGTTTTAAAAACTCTTTGTTAAAAGTACAACTCATTATAAAATTAAAAAATTCTATAATTTATTTTTAAGAAGACATAATCTAATTAGAGGAATTTCTTTTAATACACTTATTTATAATTTAATTTATAATGTACTGTGCGCTTGATTTATGTTCAATTTAGGCCAACTTTTTCACACGTTTGCTTGCGTAATAGGTACAAAGTAGGTCTAGTAATTTATGCATAATCATTTGCTCAGCTTTGCTGGCCAACCTTAATGACTTTTGCGCGTCGCTTGCACCTGGACAACACCTGAACGCATATCTGCCACGCCCCCTGTTTGAAGTCCACCCACTCTTTGCTAAACCCCCCTCCCTCGTCACATGACCTTCATTGCTGGATATTTTGCACATCCTGGTGGCATGCAAAACGGGAACGTGCCTGGTGTTTGGCCTGCGGTCAGCGGCAGACAATGTCCTTCCATGTCCATCCAAGGACCATGTACTCAAACCCATGCACACACCCACACCCGCACCACACCCACAGCCACCTATACTTTTGGGCAGCAATTAATTTGAAGTTTAGCACGTGTGTGTGTCTTTGTGATTATTACATAATGGCAAAGACAATGTCAACAGCAGACTCAGCTAACAAAAGGGGGGGCAGTGGGATGGCTACTGGGTGGATTTCGGTGGCTCAGGTTGTGCAAGAAGCCTGAGCCGGATTTCAAGGACTCGCAAATGCTAACAGGTGATGACAAAAACACACTCACCGAGAGAAACATCCTGCTGGCAGGGACATAAACAAAATAATAACAAAACGCAGTCAGCAGCTTGAAGAGCAAAGGAGCTGGTTTGTGGCCATTTGAAAGAGAAACCGCGCAGGCGCATGGTGGCCATTTCGAAATTCGAACTCCACAGGCTGGCTTAAAAGCATGTCCTGGCCGAGTGAGGAGCTCAGTCTAGTGCTGAATACATCGAGGCCAGGACACGCGACCCGTGACAGTGTCGAATTAACCAAAAAAAACCCAAGTGCCAAGTGCCGAGTGAAGAGGCCACAAAAACAACTGACTAACTAACTAACTGCCTCCAGAAACTGTGCGATTTAAGACCAAAAACAGAAACATAACTACCAGGTAGCAGAACGATCCTTTGTGTATGTGTGCTGTGCGTGTGTTAGCGGTGTGCGTTGGTATTTGTGATGTTAGCCAACTTCCGGTTGGCAGAAGGCGAAATGTCAAACTTTTTTTTGCTAGCAGACAGAAAGGCGTCGAACAGGGAATTGGGATAGGGATAGGAGCATCCTCGTATATAATACATTATTCACTCAAGGGATAAATAAGTATGGTATATTTATATATCTATGGATCTATAAGATACAGATGGCTGTGCTCTAAAGAGTGAAAGAGGAGATTTCTTGTGATGCTGAGCAGTAAGCCGTTGTTTTAGAAACTTGCAGGAAAGAGATTTTCTTAAGAAATAAATGAAATATTTGCCACTACATATCTAAGCACTTAAGCTGTTTATAATCTCTAGAAAATTGGAAACCAGAAGATGGCTGCTGAACAGAATGCAGTTAAACCTATTAATCTCTCTCACACAGGATATTAAGAATGAGTTTTACTATAGCATACTTTTGAGCACCTAAAAAATCTAAAGTAGTGTTAATGGCAAAGTTTTTCTGAAATTAATAGTTAATCAACCAAACTGTTTGTTTTTGAATAGTTTTTGGGATTTTATAGGAACTCTTGATAAAGTATTTCGCGCATCCCACCCATTTCCGCCAGTTGAATGTATGTGTGTGCGTAATGTGTGCGTGTGTGTGAGAATCTGCCTCATTTCCGCTCGCCTGCCAAAAGCAGGTGAAAGCTAGCTCGTAAAGCTCACGGTGGAAAATCCATTTGCAGTGCATCAGTGCCCGGGAAAAACCTTAAAGCAAACAGCCAGCGAAGTGAATTAACCATAAACCAAAGCCCCTAAAATAAACCGAAGCAGGGCGAAAAAGCGAAATTTAAACGTCTGTGCATATTAATCAGAACGAGAAACGTGAAACGTGAACAGGATCAAGTCCTAGACAACTTATCACAGAGGATTTACGTGGCACCAGACAGACAGACAGACGCAGGACACGAATGCGAGTGTGGAGCAGAAGGCGGCGCTAATCAACGGCCAAAGCAGACGACAACCACGCCCACAGCCCCCTCTTTTCGAACAGAAAAATAACAAAAAAAAGAAAAGCGAGGAAAAACCAGGAAAACCCGGGAGCTGGAGAGCAGGAGCCGCCTCATTTGGCCACTGCGGATTATGTTAATTAGGTAATTTTTGCTTTGATTACTCATACCTTGGGGGCCCTGCAATTTTGTTTGCTTTCCTCCCCCATTTTGTCCACGGTCCTCGATTCGACACCCACCGTCCAGCTTACATATTTATGAATTTCCCATGCAAATCGAGCTAATTCATTCACATTTCGCAGCTGCCGTTGCTCTGTTTTTTAATTCGCTGCCTTAATTGCAAGACAGTTTTTTTTCGCCCGCCTGATTTGTAGTTAAGAACTCATTATTACCAAGCGCAGTGGCGAAAATTGAAAAACTTTTATTCATCTCTCAAACCCCCAAAATACAAACACAAATTGAAATTATTTTTGGCTAAATGTAACGACAACACGGTGAGTTCATTAGGAATGCTAATCAAGAGCAAATGAAAAAGCTAAATTTAAATGCTTCAACTGGCAGATATAATTACCACTAGGCAAATCGATTTACAGCCCAGCAATTATAATATATAAATTAAAATTACTAAAATTCGACTGCTGTTAATGGAATCGGAATTAATTACTAGCCAGATAATTTATTTAACAGCTGACATTTCATGGTCAAATGGCTACGGACCGTGTCAAGTCGTCCAAATTCAGATTTGATTTAGCAAATAAAACAATTTGCAGTCAGAGCACTTTCACATATAACTCGAAACTAACTACCACCCAGTACACCCAGTCAATTGAACAATTCGATAAATTGAGGTCTAAATTCACGGAGCAGAATGGAAAATTGTGGGCAAAAGTCCAAGGATCCCCTGGGAGTACAACAGAGGTCAGGGGTTCAGAGCCAGGACAATGCCGAAACAAACTTGCGAATGGTAATGGAAACAAAAACAGAAATTCCCAGTTGCCGGCAGGCATTCAAAACTTTCAACTCTGCCGTTTCACCATCGATAATTAAATTGTGAAATTCTGAGCCTTGAATCGACTATGGGAAACTATGAAAATGTGGCCAGAAATCATGCTCAAGTTTCTGCCACAATTCAGTTTTCCCTTCCTTCAATTCAGCTGAGGGTTAGATTGGTTGGGCAGCCTTATGATTTTCATTTTCAATTTAATTTGATTGATTTTTGCCTTGTTTGGGCGTCGGCACATGAAATTCATACTCGTGAATTATGCATGCAAAGCTGCCTCGCAAAAGTATTATGAAATTCCTGTGGGCAATTTATTTATTTACGAGTATATTGCGCACAAGCGAGAGAAGAACATAGAACACCATGGTTGGTAAATTATGTATATGAAAATAGCAAACACTACACCATATATTTTACCTACAAAGAAAGTCTGTTTATTTACTAGTAGAATGTCTAGCGCAAATTAAGCAAACGCTAATATGACTTTTATTTGTCATGGCAATAAAACTTTTGGTATCCGCTCCAAGGAATCGCCTACCTCGAAAAGCCATAAAGTCCAAGTTCCTGGCATTTAATGCAGCCACAGTGTCTAATTAGATGGCAGCAAAAGTGCCGCCAGTTCAACTCAGATAGCACACGCACCCCAAAACTCGGCTGGGGTTTTGTACAGGTAGCACTCCGTATAGGGGATGTTATCCCAAGGGTGGCGGCGGTAGCCCCAATTAAGTGTGCCGCATGGGGGTGTGGCACAAGTGGCTCTTGTGCGGTTAAGATGCTAGCACCATGGCATCGTAACCTGATATCACCTCAAAACACACGCCCCAACTCAATTTATTTTGACTTTCAATCAAGTCAGGACTCAACAGAATTATGGAAAATGTTTCCATTGGCAGCACAATTATTTATTTATTTAATTAGTCACTGGAATAACCCGACTTTTGTGACGACAGCCATAATGAAAATTAAATTTTGCTCATTTCATGCATATGAAATTTATTTGTTGATAGAAGTGAAAAATGCCTAGAGCTATTAGTGGTATCTGATTACGGGTTAGTGCTTGAACCATTTCAAATTAAAATCATTCCATCAAACAAAGGTCCATTAGGCTAATTATATTTAACACTTTTAAAGTTGAACTCAAACAATTGAACTCAATTAATTATATAAAAGGATACTAAACTGGAATTCTAAACACTTCAGCTAGCAACTATTCCCATATAGGTTCGACTTATTTATTTGCTGTTTTAACAAAAGGATAATTAAAGAACATTTATATTTTTTTAAGCAGTGCTTAATAAATAATTTAAAGTTAACAAAGAGTTATTTACCCAGGCACCCAACATAATCAGTATTAATGATTTTGAATTTTTTATAGCATACTACAATTTTCTATTGACTGATTTTTAGGTACTTTGTGACAAGTTACAAATGCAGTTTTCTTTTCTACTCAATTTGGCTGCTTTGTACAACTCCTGCTACGTATATGTCATAATAGTATTTTAAACTTGAAACTCAGAAATATTGATTTTTTGCGGTCCCTGTTAACAACTTTAAAATCGATTAATCTTGCCAGTCGCAACCACTGTGCGTATGAGTGATGCGGGTGTGCGGCACTTAACCACAAGCCTTTCCAGATGGACCAGGTTTGGCACAGCCCACAGACGGAGTGGCAGCATTGTTTGCGGCCAACTCGGGCACTTGCAATCACGTGCCCCGTCTCGTGGCAATCAAAGTCGTTAGCTGCAACCCAGGGGGAACCCAATCCGATCCATCCATGTGCGGCAACCTCGGCGGCGAATAATCAAATATTTCCGTGACTACAAAGGACTGCGGACCCACACACTGAAAGGCACAAAGACAGGCGGCTGAAACTTAAAGCCAGTGAAAGTAAATCCGATTTAGGACTGGAAAACGGCAGTAGCGGTTTCAGCCGCAGCGGAAGAGAAATGCCGAGCAACGAAACGAGAAAGACTCCAGACAATTTGCATATTTATGAAGAAGAACGGCCTTAGATAAAGCTGCAGAACGCAGCTCTCGGGCTGCTTTAAGCTGATTCAAATTGAAAAACGCAGACAGCAGAGGCGAAAGATACAAATGTAAATGGTTGTGAATCTTAGGGGTTTTGGGGTCTGGGGCTAGCAACAATAATCTGCGCTGATTTACGATTTACAGGCGCGAAATAGACAACGAAAGTTCCCAGAATGGGGAGAAGGCAGACAATTTGCGTGCGCAATTTGCAGTTGATGGGCGACACACGCCATACTCCCGCCCCCAGAAAAAAAAAGAAAGTTAAACCAACCACCCTAAATTGTTAAACATTTTTGCGAATGCGAAAAGCAAAAATTTTACACACTGATTTTGATCGTTTCGCTTTTTTCTTAAAATAAACGCCTGCTGAAAATGGCAAATGAAGAGCTGTCTATCCATGGAATATATTTCACGCTGAGTTCGCACAAATATGCCGCAATTTAAAGCAATAGAAAGCCAATGGAGCATGGGGAAATGTTCTATTCAAATTTTTATATCCATTGTATTTTGGAAGTGCAATGAATTAAAAATAAAGAAGAAACCTTTTTATAAAAATCTCTAGATACAGAACATTAAATTTAATATTGGATTTATAAGTAGGACAAGTTTGATTTATTCAAAAACAGGCATTCGAGTCCCTCTTTCACGATTATAAGGTCTACTAATTACACTCGAGCAGCTCATAAAATGTAATTCTCAATTGGAAAGTCAGCCACATTTGCACTTTACTGATTGCCATGCGAAAACTTGTCTGCATTTGCAAATATTTATAATTAGTCAAATGCATGCAAATCTCAAAATCCCCAACCAGTTCACCTCAATCTGTCTGCGTGTAGAACTCATTTCGCAATCACTTCTGATATGGAGCAAATTTGGGTTTTTGTTCAAGTTGCAGTGCAGTAAAAGCTTTCAGCTTTCCCCACTTGACATCTCGTTCCCCCAGAACTGTGTCAACATAGTTTTTCAATAACGCTCCGACATGTGTGCATACGTATTTAGTGCAAATATTGGTAAGCAGTTGGCATATGAGGTTGATATTACCAAAAACCAACTTCCGTTTTCCGCACATTGCCTCGCACTTAAGCAAACACAAGCTGATGCACATATGCAAATTTTCCCTTCACAGAATGACTTTAACAATGCAAATGGAGCACTCAAATATATATGGAGCATACACATATATATATTTACCAGGGATCTAGTGAAGAGTCAGGTGCGTAGTTTGCAATGCAAAGGGGGGTTTCTTATGTATGTAGTTCTATAGCTATATGATTTATACTTATCAAGATAGATAATATAAGGAGTGGTATATTATATAGAAGTACTTTGCAATGCAAAGGGGTTTCTGATGTAGATCTATAGATATAAGATTTCTTCTTATCATGGGATATGATATAAGGAAAATTATATGTTTCGAAATAAAGTAATTAAGAAAATAAAGGAAAGAGGTTTCATTCCATTTTAATAATATTTTTAGAAAATGGTTTAAGAATTATTTATGCCCCGAGACAATTAGACAAGGAAGTGAATCTTCTATTTTCTTCAACAAATATGTATTATATCCTTAAGGCATCCCCTTTGGCTACGCTCCGATGTTTGAGACACTTGGAAATCTCACCTTAATGCCTAATCCCCGACATTAAAGTGTTGCGCCAGCAAAGTGATTTGTTGTATACAAAGCGGCAGCCTGCTGAGACACCCGGGCACCCAGAAAACCCCCCTTAAGACCCCTCGGAATCACCATTATTCCCCTTCATCAGCATCGCACAATGGAAACGAGTACGAGAACGACGGTATTGCAAATAATCTTTGCAGTAAATACGCAACAAGAATGGAGAGGAAAAACCCCCGGCTGGGGATCATTATTTGGCCAAGTGGGAAACAAAACGTTCCTAGGAATAAAGGAACAAAAAAAAAGAGTCCTGCGAAGCAAATGTCGCACATGACTGCGGCAACTGTGTGCGTGTGTGTTTGAATGTGTAATTTAAGCATTAGAGACGCGTAAAACCTTAACTCGGCGCACATGCACGCATACACAGAGACATGAAAATTGAATAAATTATGCGTGTCATCACATGCCGAGAACAGGCGGAAAATGGGGGTGGGGAAACCATCC